TCTTTTGCACCGCTAACATAGTCTCGAGGTCTTCAATTTGAACATTATCGGATGACACTTTCGAATTTGCATATCAGTGATAAGTTAACATGTGATGCTCACGTCTCAAAGTAATCTTCTCTTTTTTGTAGTTCAATGTGTTGTTTGAGGAAATTATATATTTATACATATACTAGTTAGAAGTGTTGTAAAACTCGTCGAGTTTGTCGATTATTCCTCTGAGTATTCGCTACTTGTCCCCTTACCGAGACGAGTTACAGAATCTCGAGTAGTACCCAATCGGCCCTTTACTGAACTGACCAATGTTGAAAACTCGGTGATTAATATGTATAATATACTTAATGATTTATTATTTAACACATACACATGTGATTATTACTACGTATATATCTTAAATTTTCAGTAATTATTTACGAAGTGAGACCATTATGTGTTTTTCAGTTTTTATGTATTCACATTTATCTAATTTTGTTATATATTTCAATCAACTTATGGTTTTAATTTATGATTTTGATATATAATTTCCCTATAAATATTTCTACTTGAATTACCAAATCCGAATACTCCCTACTCGTTAATCGGCCGAACAGGTACCGAGTAACGAGTTCTACAACATTGGTTAGTAAAAAATAGTTATTTTTCAATAGAATTTAAAAAGAAAAAGTTATCAAAAATTGAATGGAATATGGCTTTGGCAACGAATCACCACATCACGTCTATAGGGTTTGAAATATGTACGTTATAAGACATACCATGTAGGCATCACACACCTTCTGTGCTTGCAATACCATTCAACCTAATACAGTTCCGATATTTGACTTATATAGTTATGCTAATAATTATCTGTCACACCCCCGAACCAGACGGCGGAAACGTCCGAGGGCTTTCGTGACTCATTGAATACCATTACAATGCATATACATGAAACATAACATAAAACATCACCAACATTTGGAATAGTACAACCAATAGTGTTTACATTCGTTACATTGTTCAAAGGTTACATTCTCAAAGTAACTGTTCAACATCACTTAAACCACAGCAAACAACATAGAGTATAAATCATCCATCACCTTATCTGTTACCTGAGAATACAAGTATTTTGAAAAACGTCAACATACGAAATGTTGGTGAGTTCATAAGTAGAGTTTGAAATCCAATGTAATGTTTGAAACCCATCAGAAAATCCGATATTTTCTAATAATGGAATAGTGAAAAAAATATGTGTTGATCCATGAGTATGCATGTTTGAATTCTATAGAAGTAAGCGTAAGAGTTATGAAAAATTCGACCGGCAATTCGTAAGTTGTAATTGTTGAAAACCCTAGGAAAACCCGACGTTTTCCTATCACTTTGTATTACTTAGTTTGTATATTGTTGTTTCGTTTCGTTAGGGAAATCGTTGAGTTCCGGAGGCATTGAGAATACAATGGGTGGTGAAGTGTTGTGACGTACGTTAATGAAAACGTCCAATCGACAACCTTACAAGCGATCCCCTTAGGTGCCACTCGTAATTCTTCACACAACTCGATCCTCCCGGACTTGTGTAATCCCACGACCGGAGGGAAGGAGAGAAGGTGCGAAACCCTCGGTATTTCCCCGCGTCGTTCAGGACAAATGCAATTGCGAAGGGCCCGAAGCCCAACCCGCAATCGTGAGTTACCGACTTTACTAGCAGCACTGAAGGACCCTTGGGGACCAGCAGCACGTTTGCCATTGAAAGTCCTGTTACGTTATGTCGGATCGGTAAAACCCAACACTTCGTAAGAGAGAGAGAGAGATCTTCGGGCCTTAAGATCAGGTCATTGGGCTAGCTAGGCTCAACGAACAAGATTTTACACTTTTGGGGCCTAAAGATGGTGCATAGACGTCTGCGCACACTCGTATGTATAGTGAATTCTACATCGTTATTTGTTATGAATCGAAATGTTGTAACGTCGTCGTGTTAGTGGTTTTGGATTTTTATTGGTTCGAGACCGAACCAATTCGTTTAACAACGACTTTTGGTATTGTAGTATATTGTATTTCGTCGACGAGCGTGGTACCATCAATTGGTCAAATTTCATGTATTAACTAACCTTGAAGATTTTCTGTTTTCAGCCCCTCCTTAATTGTAGAATTTACTCTTTTTACCCCTTTATTTAAAAACTTTCCGGTTTGGTCCTTAAATCAATTTTCTTGACATTTTTATACCAAAAATTATTGAAATAAGTATTTTCCAGCATATTTATCATAGAAAACAGTTTAAGCCCTTGAAACTTCAGTTTTCTCGGTTATAGCCCTTCTTTTTCGCAACTTTTACATTTTTGACCCAATTTGGAAAAATTTTTACAACTTTGGTCCCTTTTAAATTTGGAAAGCATTTTAAACCTTTGAAAAGCATATGGAACACTTATAGTCCACTGTTTTACAGAAAAATGCAGTTTTGGCCCTCCAATTTAGAAAATTTCGCATATTGGGCCTTATTGGGCCGAAAATGTCATATTTAGCCCAATAAGCTTGGAGTTTGTGTTTTTAACCCTCTAAATAGTATATTTTCAGAAAATACATTGTGTAAACTGTTTTGACTCATCTTACCCATCAGATTTCGAAATATTTCACTTTAGCCCCTTTAACTTTGTATTTTCAACATTTTATGTCAAAAAAAAAAAAAGAGTTTTTAGCCCAAGTTAAGTGTTGTCAAACTATTTAGCCATTTTCTTAGTATACTTTGCAATGAAGTAGTATATTTTATGCCATAATAAGATATAAGTCTCGGTTTTTAGCATTTCATACTAAATCTATCATCAAAATCATACAAAACATACACATAAGCATAGAAATCAACCACAACATACACATAATGATGGATCTACACTTTTTCTTGTATCCTCCCCCACAAAAACTCATAAAAACCGAAAATAAGGGGATATGAAACTCACCTTGGGTGTTGATTCGGTTTTTGCAGAAAGAATGGAAGAAATGAAGTGATTTTTGGCCTTTGCACTCCTTGATGAAATTTTCGAGTTTATGGGATTTTCTAGAGTGCAAGATCATGATTTTTGCATGGATTAGGAAGAGATTTTTGATAAATATGGAATACAAGTCATAGATCCAAGCAAAAACTTACCTTAGGTGATGATTTTTGTGGAAGAACTTCCTTGAATGCTTCCTAAATCTCGAGATTTTTGAGTGAAGAGGGAGGATATGTTCTTGAGTGTTCTTGAGGGAGTTTGAGAGATTTTTGTGTATGTGTGTGTGTGTGTTCGGCCGAGAGTGAGAAGAGAGAGGAGTGGAGGTGATTTTGAAGTGATGTTGCATGGAAATATGGACTAACTTGCATGGATACCCAATGGATAATAATGAGGTGGCATACTAAGGTCAACTCTCTTCTCTTGGGCTTGTTTTGGGCCTTGGGCCGAGATTTTTGGAATGGAAGGAGAAAAATTGGGCTTTAATGCCCTAAACCCATGTAGATGTTAAGTTGGATGGTTTTTAGTCCCAAAAGAAATATAGTATGATTTTTACACTTTGTTGGGCTAGTTTAGGTTAATCATGGTTCAAAATTTTGTATTTATTTCATTCTAGGCCCAATGTGGCCCAAAATGTTGAAATAAATAGATGTGGGTCCAATTAGAGCCCAATTAGGGTTCTAAGCCCATGATAGTCCAATTGGAAGCTTATTGGTCCATTTGGATCCAATAAGGAAGTTCTAGTCCAAATAGACTTAACAAGAACTTTTAGGGTTTTCCAATTGTTTGATGACTACTTGTAGTACTTGTATAATGTATTTGATTGAAGTTTTTGATTCACATTAGCTTGAATTTATAGATTACATGACACAAAATTTCCAGTTGTGACATTATCATTTCAAAAATAGTCATTTTAGATTTGAATCTCACAAGTTTCAACCAAATAGGTCTGTCATTCCAAAATAAACAATAATTCGAGTTAAATTGTGTGCAATGTATTTTAGGCCATGGGGTATGAAGGGTGTTTATACGCATAAAATCTATGTGTAATCTATGTGGAGGGGATGTTCACGCGTGAAAACTGCTCCCAATGGGTGTAGTTGTGGTGTGGAGTAACTAGCTTCACGGATGATTACAGGAATTTCGATTGGTTACCTCCAAATTGAATGTATTCTCATTGATTGTTCATTACCTGTTCACTAGTGAACACCATTTCCACCCTATAGTGAATGAATGGTGAAAAAGGGTTGATGATGATGTGGCAGCCTTTAACGCATAAAATCTCAAAACCATAACTCATGGCCTTAAGAAACCTTGATTAAAAATAAAATAAATAAAATATAACTTAATAAATGAAAATCAATTTACCAAATGTCATGTTTTCATTGAATTTGATACATATCATTTTCTAAGAGTTTTTGAATTATTTTTTGTCTACTTGTTATTTTCTTATAAATTTGCATTTTCTTAAATTTAAAATCCACATTTTATATATATATATATATATATATATATATATATATATATATATATATATATATATATATATATATATATATATATATATATATATCAGATGATTTTATTAAATTCATAATAAATGTCTTACAACATTTTAAATATTTTTAAATTATATATTAAATTACTTACTTTATTTATTATATTTTTTGAATTTATGTAACATTATTACTTTAAAAAATATGTAAAAATTAAAATACACAAACTTCACACCTAGTAAACAATTAACTAAACTTTGTCCAAAGTTGAAATTTTACCCTACAAAATGTTTTAAATAGTTTTCCATGGAAGACTTTTAGATTTCCTCAAATATAACTACATAAACAAAGAAATGATAACCGTTATGTGTTTCAGTTCTAATTTATTTAAAAAAATAAAACACGTCCTCTCTAAAGATAATGTTTTAACTTAAATAAAGGATTAAAAAGTAAAACAAATTATTTATTAAAGTTAGTATCATTAGTCAATAGTCAATAGTCAATATTAAACTTTATTTGTTTCTTGCTCTGTTTATTTAACCTCTTCATCTCCCCCGATTCCACACCACTCCAATCAAAATTTCGACTTCGATTCCATTTTTGAGAATTGTGCATTTGTAATTTCTTCACAACTTATATCAATCACCACGCATGGATCAACCTGTTCATAATCAAGATCAAGAATATATTACAATCGAAGACGATGAAATCACTAAGCCGAATTCCGATTCCGAATCAAATACCAAAGTAGCTGTTCCCAGCTACTGGCAATCTGGAATTTTCAGAAACAACAACCAGTTGATGTTGCATAGAGTTGAGAAAGGAACCAGTGAATACGTGAATGTCTCTAGGAGTTTTATCACTGGGATGAGGAGTTTCGAGAACCATGTTGACGTCGTTGCGATTCACCGGAAGAATTATAAATGGAGTGTGATGGATGAGGCTCGCGCGGAGGCGTTTAGGCGTTTTGCGACGGCGGTTGCCAATAGAAACGGCGGAGATCCTAACATCAGGTTTGGTTGGTACGGCGGTTTTCGTGAAGACATTCGTGACATTTTGTGTTATGGTTTTCGTCGATTGGAAAACACTTCGTCATCTTATGGCCGCGGTGTTTACTTCTCTCCGGTGAACAATTCAAATGCGAGGTTAGTAACAGTTCCTCTCGATTCATTCATATCTCCATTCTTTTTATCAATTTGTTACAATTAAGTTCATTATATGCTTCAATTCGAATGCGATTTTGTTTAAATCTGTTCTTGGTGTTCATATCAACTTTTCTTCTTCTTCTTCTTCCAGTCAAAAATCGATAATAGCTGATTCAGATGGCGTGATGCATGTCTTACTATGTCGCTTGATTTTAGGGAAACTCGAACCAATTCCTTTTGGTTCACAAATCGATCAACCGACATCGACAGAATTCAATTCGGGTGTCGATAATCTTTCATCACCCAAGATATACATCATTTGGGAACCTTACATGAACACCTTCGTTCTTCCCCTTTTCATCGTCTCTTTCAAAGCAAATTCATTAATAGGTGAAAATTCTTAATCTCTTTGACCCAATTTGTTACACAGAATTTGTTCCAAGATTGATAATCGCATTTTTTTAGGAGTAAGAAAGGAAAGGTGGCATGCTATGATGAAAATTCTGATGACGAACTTCCCCAAGTATCTGAGTTCTTCAAAGATGGCTTTTGTTAAAAAGCTTCATTATGATTTTTATGTAAAGTTTTTCGATTGAATCTTTCTTTCTTTATATCATCGCTTACGATGAATGAATTATTAAATCTAATGATTATTAATTAACATTTTATTTTGCAGAAAAAGAAGATATCAGGAGAAACATTCGTAAGAAACTTACGGATAATTGCTGGAGAAGATATTATAAGGGAGATAATTCGAGTTCATAATACATCGTAAAAGGCCATATTTGTTGATGATATCGTTAAATATTATATCGTTTTTGGGTGAAATGTTTTGGGATTTTGTTAATTGTATATGAAGGAAAATTCACATTTAAATAGAAAAAAAAAAAATGCCAATTTGCATAACAATTTATTTTAGTTTGTTTGCTATTCAAGTCAACAAATTCTAGGTAAGGATAGTGTAAAAAACCAAAATAAATAAACGAAAAATAGTTTTAGGTTAAGAACGTTTCTATAGTTTTCTAACCATATATCCATAAATTTAAAATTTTCAACAATGTATTTTATATTTTTTTACGAATAAGGCGATAAAGCAACATATATTTTGCTACCAATATGGACAATGTTGTTTATTTGCTTTTATTGTTATATAGATATATGTATGCTGCTAATAATGGGAAAAAATGGGTAAAAATTATATGTAGGTTTTTAATGTGTGTAAAATAAGCAAGAACATTAAAGTAAAGAATTGTAAGTATGTTGATGTAAAAAAAATCTAAGGTGGTTGAGTTGAGTTACACATATTAGTAAAAGAAAATATAAGTATGTTGTTATTATGGGTAAGGAAATAAAAATACATTGCCAATATGGGTCAAGAATAAAATGCATTGCCTATATTGAATTATTGATAAAATAGTAAAGTGCATTGTTATGTTATGCAATATACCTTTAAATATCGAAAAAAAAGTTGAAAAACTAATGTAACGTCCGTAAATTCCGGTTAGATGTTTAAGATATAATAATACTACATATGTCTCATATTTATCGTTCGCTTTTGACTTTTAAAGTCTTTATTTTTCAACTTTGACTTTAATATTTTTGTTTTTGATATACAATATTTGATGCAAAATATATGAATGGAGTGTGTTTTAAACATCATTGTTTTAAGTTTCATCAAATGCTTTATGACACAAATAAACATATTTAAGGTCAAAGTTGAAGGATAAATACCTTAAAACTTAATAGTTGACAATAAATATGGGACATAGAGAGTAATAATTATACATTTTATCGAACAATTAAAATCATTGAATAGGATAATTGTTCTTTAGACACGTTATGAACTAATATATATTTATCGTATACACGATATGCAAACAAATATTATTAGTATTATAAATTATAATATTGGTAGAAAAACTTAATATAAAATTTATCATTAAGCGATAAAATAACATTAAAAATAAAAAATTATTTAGGTTAAATAATCTGAAAAGGATGTCGTAGAAACCGTACGAGCACGTGGATATAAAGAACACTTAAATCTGACTTTGTATGAGAATGTTACGATTTTCAAAGTTTCGCGTTCGACACGATATAATGTATGTGTCATAAAAAGTGAGATAGAGTTCGGTTGCTCGTTAATTAAAACATTTTAAATGAGTTGTAGTACTATTTGATACGAAAACGACGATATAAAGAACGTCGAAAACAAAGTTTGTATACGAAAGATACGCAGGAAACTTGGTACCTAATCTTGATATGGAACATCTTTCGCAGTGTAATTTTTACAGAATTGTAAATTTGAAATAGAATGAGAATTAACCGACAAAGTCTAAATTAAAGTTGTAGTATTATTCGATATGAAATCGAAGATATAAAGAACGTTGAAAACAGAGCTCGTGTGTGAAAGATACGAATGAAACTTGGTCCCTAAGCTTGATATGCATCATCTTTTGTAGTGTAATCTTTACAGATTTGTAATTTAAAACAGGACGAGAATTTGTAGACAGAGTCTAAATGAAATTTGTATTACTCATCGATACAAAATCAGAGACATAAAGAACGTCAAAACGGAGCTCGTACACGAAAGATACAATATAAACTTATACAAAGTCAGAGATATAAAGAACGTTAAAAACGGGGCTCGTACACGAAAGATACAATATAAACTTACCGCCTACGCTTGAGGCGCGGTGCCTATAAATACAAGTCTGATTTTTTTTTTTCATTCTTGCTCAACTTTTCTCAAAATTCTCGCTAGAAATTCTTTCATTTCATGTTCGATTCTTCTTGGTTTCTCGATTACTTTATCAAGGTTATGTGACATCGGAGATCCTGGCGAAAAGAATTTTTTAGAGTCGAAGTTCTACCCACGACTTTCCAAGTTTTCGCTAAACAACCTGTAAGTTGATTTATGCTTATTGTACTTTAAGTATACTTATATTTTTGTTCGTAGTTTTTATTACGAACTTATAAATGAGATTTATTAGTAAACTAATCATTATACTTATCAATCTACTAGTGTGAATGATGTCTAGGCTAGATCTCTGAGGTGTTTAAAGTGGATTTTCCAAACAATGTATCTCTATACATCAAAATGATCCTACCTATGATATGATCTTACCTGGTTGTTCCTTATCAGCAATAAGTCAATATTCTTTTGTGATTATTGATAAATATAAGAAAAACATGATCATATTAAACTTTATAAATACGAATGAATAATAAGGCTTAGTAATATTCATGTTTAGGTAGTTTAAAAAAGGAAAACTAAAGCGTCAGTCAAGGATCTGACTTTTCCACAAGTCCTTCAGAGGTGAGTGCATAGTTACTTTCATGAACATGATTTTAATACGAAGTATTTATTAAAATGTCTTAGATATCTGATGAAAGTTTTGATGGGTTTTATAGGTTATAAGACATGTACAATACGGAAAATCACTTAACAATTAAGAAGACACAAGCAGGCTATAAAGATCTATGTCTCACACTTTGAAGGTAACACACTATGAGTAACAACACTAGATAAACCCTAATATAATCGAAATTATCAAGTTAGGGTTACATACCTTTGATTTTTTATAGTAAACAATTCACTTTAACCCCTTGTAGTTGTTTGTCTTGGAAAGCTTAGCACCAAAAGGATGATGCCTCTAATGGCTCCACCCAAACCCTAGAACTAGAAAACAAGAGAGGAAAGGGGAGAGAGGTTTAACTTTGTTCATATCCTTCTTGGAGTATGCATGAAATTTGGCTACGAAGTTGTCCTATTTATAGTTTAGGTAACTTGTAGACAAAACCAGAATTGAATTGATTAAATAATAAATTTAATCTCAGTTCAAATCCTTTTCTTATATGCAACCACGAGGCTTCCTGAAACCTTAGAATCATTGCAAAAACCATCCATCCCTATATTGGTTCTAGATATTTCCTTCATTGCTCAAGTAAAAACAAGTACAATTGAACCCTTGGACCTTTAGCTAATTCCAATTAATCACGAATTAATTCCAGATTAATTCTGATTAATAATTAATCAATTCTAATTCATTTCACCTTAATTTATTAATCATATAAATTAAAAAATCAATTATTTAACAACTAATCGCATATTAATTTATTAATCACATAATAAATTAGTAAATCAACTATCTATTTGCAATTAATATTTTATTCATATAATATATTAACAAACTATTTATTACAATTTATTAATCATGTAATAAACTAATAAATTATCTTCTTTCTACAAACATCATTCTAACCAAGTCTAGTTATGAGGACAACCTAAAAAGGACTTTACTTCTATTTACAAGTTTATATCAGTTTAGAGTCTAGTTATGTGCTTAGGCACCTTAATCCAACACTCTTCCACTTGGACAAATCTATAACTACAATTGCAAGTATAACCTTGAACCAAACAACAAAGTGTTCTTTTCAGAGTCATTACCAAACTATGATTCAAATAAATCGCCGTCCCTAAGATAAGTGATCAACTATTCTTTCGTTCTACAAGATATCATATGGACATAAGACATGGATTAGAATCAATCTCATAGTCTAAGATTCTATTTCTCGATTTCCTGATTTATGATGATTGAATTTAGACTACTAATTGAACACATCAATTTAATTTGAGCTTGGCCAATCACTTTAGATTTCGACAACAAATCATCGAGGGGACCAAATATATTGTTTTTCCTATTAAGGATAAAAGAAAGAATAAACTTTGACTACATAATTGTAACCTTTACTTATCAAATCATACATGATACTACATTTTATAACATCATGTTACTGATGCGTTTACGCAACACCAATGCACAAACGACTTGAAAATTACAATTTACGTATCTTCGTTTGAAGAATAGAAGATATTATCATCTTAGAATTACTCATGATAAAATCCGTGAAGTAATCTCTAAGCATGGGTTTATCCAATACTTGAAATCCTATTTTCTAAATACTCATTAATATTGTAGCAATCCTATGTAATGTCCAATCTCTCTGGACAATCTACAATTGATTCATGACAATCTTAATTCACTACTCGCTTCTAAAAGTAAGAACAACTGTTGAATAATAAAATTATCTAGGAAGTAAACATGCAAAGTGAAACACAATAATAAATTAATTAACTATGACATCATGCCTATTGAATATAAATAAATCCCTATTATTTAATCACCATAACAATTATAGATTTATTCATTGTATAATGTTTCGAGTAATCAACTAACCACTTGAATTAAATAACATTAGTCATGCTATGTTATGAAACTCCTATATCTTTTAAGATCATCATTAAAACTATTTTAGGTGGGTAGAACTATTTCACCAATTTCAATCACATGAAACTCCTAGATCTTTTTGAAATTTTTATTGAAACATCAATGACTTATTTAATCTCGGATAATGCTCTTACCAATTGTGACTGACATGTCACACCCCGAAACGAAGGCGGAAAAGTTCCGGGGCGGACTCCACGTTGAGTATCAAATCCAATGCACATAGTAAACAAAGTAAACAACCATTACATTACATATTAGAATTTACATCTGTTCAAAAGTAAAGTGTTACAAGTATTATACATATGTATATATGATCAAAAGTAGAGACGAGTCTTCTGTACGCTCCGTCTTCTCCAAAAGGATCGCTGGGTACCTATCTAATATGGAACTGAGAATACAAGCGGTTTCAAAATCAGCATAAAGCTGGTGAGTTCATAAGATGTTTGTTTTTGAAAATGTACAAGTTCCCTTTGGTTTTCCGAAAAGTTTGTTATCCAAGAAAATCCCATATTTTCTTATATGTAAAGTTTGATTAGCTGTTTTATTACACAAATCTGGTTATGTACAAT